AAGGCTGAGATATTTAGGGAGTATAACCTATAGGGTTTGGATTAGATGGAAATGATGGAAGAATGACTCATAGGTTTTTGGCTTGAGTTCTAAGTAGATGGTGCTGGGGAGAACGGAGGAGAAACAGATTTTAGGTCAGGGAAAATCAACAACTTTCTAGATATCTTACTTTTGAGATAGCTATTAGAAACCTAATAGGATACACTGACTATGCAGTTAGAGATACAAGACTGGAGCTCATGGTGGGTGCTGAGAGAGATGTAATTTTGGAAATCAGATAAATGGATGAACTTCCCTAAGGGAAATGTTATATGGGGAGAAAGGAAAATTCTTTTAAATTTTCTTTGTAGAGAATCTTCTGATATGTGGATAATGGCAATTTTATTTATTCATTTCCAATACTTACTTCTTTATTTATTTTTGTAGCATTACTGCACTCCTTTGAATTTCCAGGAAAATGAAAAGTAAAATTGGGTTTAATAGGCACCTTTGTTTGTACCTAATCTTAAGGATAGACTTTCAACATGTGATCATTAAATATTCTTTTTTCTTCTGTTGTTTTGTACATTACTTGCCTTAGGTTAAGGAGTTCTTCACCTGTATAAAGCTATACTTTTTCTTTCTTTTTCTGTTTTTAAAATTGTGAATGGTTATTGAATTCTTTCTCAAATGCTTTTTTGTAACCATTGAAATGATGATAATGTTTTCTCCTTTAACATGATGCTCTATTTCTAGAAAAATTTCAACTTTATGATGATATATTACTTTTTAAATACATTACTTTGTTCATTTTGCTAATATATTTTATATAATTTTCAGCTATGTTAACCAATTAATTTAGGTCTCTAATTCTCATTTCTCATACTATACTTAATGTTTTGTATCAAGCCTATGTTAGCCCATAAAATGACTTGAGGAGATAGTTTTTCTATTCTCTGGAAAATATGTGCATGCTAAGAACTATGTGTTTTTTTAATGTATATAATAAGTTGTTTATAAAATATCCTGGGCAATTCTCAGTTACTATTCCTGGAAACAAAGATAATATAGATTTGTTAGGAGGATGAAAAACAGGCACTCCAGATTAATGATAATCATCGATTTGATAGGTACCAATGACTAGTGGTTGATGTTCTTTTGAGCAGTTTTTTTAAATTTTAACAACCCTATGGGATAGTTTCTCTTATTATCCTCATTTTATTTATTGAAGAAATCAAGCTTAGGGAGATTAAGAAGCCTGAGGTCATTCAGTTAATGTCTAGCAGAACGAAGATTTGACTAGGATGGTCTCATTCCAGAATTTGCAATATAAATCTCTTTACTTTGACAAATTTATCATCAAAAGGACAAATTGCTGGAAGTAAACATTGTTTTTCTGAGTCAATTTGAGTTTACTTTTTTCTTAGGAAATCTGTGGTATTAAAAATAATCAAATTATAGGGGCTGGCCCCGTGGCCGAGTGATTAAGTTCACGCACTCCGCTGCAGGCGGCCCAGTGTTTCATTGGTTCGAATCCTGGGTACGGACATGGCACTGCTCATCAAACCACGCTGAGGTAGCGTCCCACATGCCACAACTAGAATGACCCACAACAAAGAATATACAACTATGTACCGGGGGGCTTTGGGGAGAAAAAGGAAAAAAAAAAAATCTTTAAAAAAAATAATCAAATTATTTGTGAGATATATTTCTATGTTACTTGAATCTCATAATTTGCAATGCACTTGTATACAGTACAATGCAGATCGCAGTGTTGGTATATATGCAGAACTCTCTTATAACAATTTTTCTGCTAAGGATTTTACTCCTTCTGTCTATCTCTAGGCTTACTATTTTTACCTTCCTCTCTTAGTGATATGAGTAAGAGCATATCTTCTCTATTGCTGAAATCCTGTCTATATGGACTTTTCCCCTGTGAATATGATCAAAGTGTAGAAGATTATTTTAATTATAATTAATAGTATAATAATTAATGTAAGAATTCCTTCAAATAATAGTGTAGCAATTCAGTAATTTACTTTAATGAATGCCTACAGTCGTTTTGTTCAGGATAAAAGGATCACATATTATATGAATGGTAGATCTTCATAAAGTAATAGTTGCTAGGTTGCTACATTGTTTTTGCTTTCCAATAGTTTATATACTTATAAGTCTAATTTTGAAGTTTTTCCTTTTCATCTTTTGAAAACATGAATTTATTTTTTAAAAATACATAAATTATAATCATGGTAGTAGTTCCACAATTTAGGGTGAATTGAAGAGGCTATTTATTTTAAACAGAAATAAAAATATCTCATTTTACATCTTGTGATAATTGGAATTGTGCTATTAACAGTCATGAGAATACAAGGACAAAAACAATGAATACTATCAAGTAGATATGACAAGATTAAAGCAATTATTATCTTATTACAAACTATATTAGTTATCTATCGCTGAATAACAAATAACTATAAAACTTAGTGACCCTAACACAACCAACACTTTATTTCTTAAAGTTCTAGAGATCTGCATGATTCTTGAGTTGGCTGGTGGGTAACTTAGGAGCTAAAGAGGAGGGGGGGCGACCGCGATGGATGAGCATCACTTTCCAGGTCAATTTCATTCTCACAGAGGCTAAATTAGGATTCTTCACGTGCTGGCTCTGGGCAGTGTTCCAATGAAGGGAAAACAGAAGCTGTATGGCCTTTTAAGGTACAGCTTCTGCAGTCATACGATATAACTTTTGTCACAGTCTATTGACCAAAGCAAGTCACAAGACCAGCCCATATTCAAAGGTGGGAAATGCATTTCACCTTCTCATGGAATAAGCTGCAAAGTCACATCAGAACAGGACACAGACGCAAGGAGCATGGTTTACTGAAGACCATTATTTTAATAATCTACCACACAAACTAAGTGACAGCTTGATACACTGCTCTCTGAAAGGTAAACTCCATAATCTTTTTAACATCATGCTGAGATATAAAGTATATTACTGCATTGGTTTGAGAGTCTCATACATCAACCCAACCTATTCTTCATGGCAATTTAATGAAACTGGGATGCGTTCATCTTTTCCAAATATAGAAAGAGCTCCTCTGAGATGTTGTAATCTCAGCCATAAAAGAATACAGACATTATTAGAAGGAATTTCAGCAGATGCCATAAATGAGAAACATTGAGATAAACCATTGGCATAGAACTTTTAAACATTCCATTCGTTCCAATGGGTTTATCAAAATAACGGCAAGACAAGAATATGAAAGAGAATCAATGAAAACAGTCTTTGTCATTTTTTGTTTTTAAAAGTAGACTATTTCAGTGAGTGTAATCTACCTGTTGTGAGCGTGTCAATGGCTTGCTAAAGAAAGAGCAAAGAACTAGAGTCTGTTCTGAATTTTAGTTTTAACACATTCAAAATTACAAATTATCTTCCCAAACTACATATTGCTTTAAGATCCACATTCAATACTTATTTATGGAGCACCTAATAAATTTCAGACATTATTTAATCCTTACTGCTAATCCCAACCAATGGAATAGCGACATCAAATATTTATGGTCATTTAGCAGGAGAGGAAAATAAGCCTCTGAATACTAATTTGCATATCTAAATCTTAAGTGGTGGCACTTGAATTTAAATTTGTATTTTTAGGACTTCCCCTAGTGTGTATGTCATTACTGCCTTCCTAAAAGTTTTATCATAGCAAGTCATTACCAAGTACGATAAAAATTTTGCAAAAATATTCCTTTTGCTAAATAACAATAAAAATAAGATAGCTTAGTCACAAAGTTCTTTTAGATAAATAATCAGTATTTCTTGAATGCTATTTACATATATAATAGGTAGTAACAGATAGGGTATCTTACATGTATTTTTCCATTTAATTTCACAAAGTTGTTCACAGAGAAGGTACAGTTATTTTTAATTTTCAGTTTAGGACACAAGCTTAAAGAAACCCTGGCACCATCTCAACCATTTAAATCAGAATCTCTGTGATTAGTACTTAAAGGAATCTTCCAAAGAGATACTAAAATACAGCCAAATTTGAGAGCCGTTGCTTTAAGTTGCTTGTGATACATTTTTAGAAAAAACTGATGTCACTAGTAGCACGGCTAAAAGATAAGATACAGAGCACACTGAGTGCCAATAATTTTATGGCTTTCTTATCATTGCTTAAAAATGTCTTAGCGTTCATAATTTTTAATTTAAAAATCATGTACTAATAAGCAAACATTTTAAGATATGCAGACATGTCTTCTGAAGGAAAGACATTTTGCTAACACATAGTTAAAATGATTTACATTTTAGTGGTTTTTGAAGCTGCAGACTATTAAGGTGAAATATAATATTAAAAAACAGAGCTGTTATATTTGAAAAAAAAAAGGTATACAAATTACTGCCTGGACCAAAATTTACAGAAGCATTTAAAAAAATAATAAAGTACCATTTTGCTGTTCAATTCCTGACATTTTAAAGTATACTATCATGTAATAATTACTTTAAAAGAAGTGCCTCCAAGAAAAACTCACATGTATCTTTTTCTTGAATTGTTTTTAAAATCTACCCTCAATTTAAACCTATTTAAATATACTTGAATATATTTTAATATATTACTCTATTGCATGGTAAGTTTATATGTATATTAAATAATCTATAACAAAGTATTATTTATCTATGTGTAAATTCTAAGCACAAATTAATAGATGAGCATTTGAAACCTGTGTCTCTACTATGCACAAAAATATCAGTGCTAATCTATGTATGTATGCTATCCGGTAAGTTTAGTTGCTAAAATCACCAAATTATATACACAGGTAAAGATTCACACCAAAACATTATCTTCTCACATTTGAAACTGAATAAATTCTCTTATAACAAGTAGATGATAAGAAAGAAATCCTATTCCACAGAATCATGAATATATTAAGTTGTCACTAACTTCAGAGAAATAACTCTTACAACCACAATGGGAGTTTGAGGAAATTCAAAGTATCTCATTCGAGATTAAACTTACCAGCGAATTTGATGTGGAATTTATTTTCAGGCTTTAATATCTGGACATACAGAGGACAATTTGGAGCAAAATCTTTTACAGCCCATGCTCTCAAAATTGTTTGGTGGTCCTGAAATGATAAATATCAAAATACCATGAAATAAATTGGAAAATTTATAATATATAAAGAAAAAAATCATCAATCTGTGTGTTAAATGGTCACATCCACAATTTAAAATTAAACATAGAAAATAATTCATTGTGAGGACTTATTTTTAAAGATACTTCTTATTTCTGTGGAAGAGACTAACCGCACAGAATCCAATCAGGGCTAATTACCAGCACGGAGAAAAATAGCAGAGATTAAGAGAGGAATCTCTTGACAAGCTCCAAAATAATTTTCCCACAAAATAGTTGAGGATCAGAAGCCTTCAGAAATGCAGCACAACTGAAAGTTTGTAGTAACAGTTTCCATGAAAAAAATACAGATTTATAATAATTTTAACAAGGGCATGATTACAGTGACCATATATAGAGAGAACACATTACTTTACTTTTTTATATAACACTAAAGGTAAAAGGATTTTGACTTTGTATGTGTGTGAGTGTGTGTGTGTGTGTTGTAGGAGATCAACAACTTTCAGATATCAAAAAATATCGAAAAAGTTTTAAAAAGAAGATGCTAAGACTTAGAAAGGAAGTGAAAATCATGCTTAACATGAAATCTTACAAGTTGTGTCACCCCTAAATTATTATTTATCAACTGACTATATCAAAGCGAATTATAAAAGAAATACGCCACATAGGTAGCTCACACATTTTGAAAAAAGAAGCAAAAACATGTTCTAGGGTAGCCCTGCCCACATAGTAGCCATTAGCCACATATAGCTGTTTAAATTTAAATCAATTAAAATTAAGAATTCAGTTCCTCTGTCACACTAGCCACATTTCCAGTGTTCAAAGCCGCATGTGTCTAGTTCAATGCTATCTTGGAGAGTAGAGATATTGAGCATTTCCATCATCACAGAAGGTTCTACTTGACAATGCTGTTAGGGAAAGAAAAGGAGGATTAAAAACAGAGGTAGATTTGAGAGATTGTTTATATACCAGGTATTTGGTTAAATATTATTCTGGCAGGGTGGGAAACCCCAGAAAATGGACAGGCAGAGAACAGAAATCACAAATCCCGTGTATAAATTTGTACAACATTGGCTGCCCTCTGAACCAAGCATGCATGGGGACAGAATAAAAGCAATCTCAACTGAAATTTGAACCTCTGCCAGCTGATACAGTTTGCATTTTGAGTTGAATGAAATTAACTCCTTGCTTAAACAAGAGCATCCACATTCTTTGGAAGAATATAGGAGCATCCAAGCCTCTACAACATAAAATAACATCCAGAATACACCGCAAAATTACTCAACAGATGAAGTGCCAAGAAAATGTGACCTATTTTCAAAGGAAACAAACAAAACAATATCTAACAGACATTAAGTGTCTAGATGATGTAGATGTTTGAATTACCAGACAAGGGCTTAAAGCAGTTACTACAAGTATGATCAATGAGGTAAAGGAAATAACGTTCACAATAAATAGAAAAAAACAGCATAGTAATAGAAAATATTTAAAAAATTAAGTGAAAAGCTAAACTTTCTGAAAAATATGCACTGAATGGTCTTTGAAGTAGAATGGAGGTGCCATAGGAAAGAGTCAGTGGACTTAATCATAGATCAATAGAATTATCCAATTTGGAGAAGAAAGAGAAAAGGGATGGAACAAGGAACAGAGTTCAGGGGCTTGTGGAACAGGGTAAAAATGTCTTAGATAATGTAATTAAATTCCTGGGAAGCAAACAAAAGAGAAAAAAAGGGCAGAAAATGACTGGAAGAAATAACGGCTGGAAACTTCCAAATTTTGTAAAATACATAAATTTACAAGTTCAAGGAGCCCAGCAAATCCCTAATGACATAAACAAAAAGATCACCACAGCTAATGACGTTATAGTCAAATTATCAAAAACTAAAGCTAAAGATAGTATTTTGAAAGCAGCCAAAGAAAAACAGTCGTATGACCAAGGACTCTGATCAGAAATCACGGAAACCAGGCAACAATGGAGCAATGATGCCAGACAGAAAGTTAGAACTTCAGAAATCAAAGAAGAGTATCAAAAATGGTTAATATTTGTGTGACTATAAAAGACAATTGTGGGGTTTCAAACGTATGATGATAACTGACATCTGAAAACTACAACATCCAGGATAGTAGAAGAAGAATAAATGCAAAGTTTCTGACTTTAACAAGTTGTACCATATTAACAGGAAGTTCACTATGAAAAGTTATAGCTGTGTATTGTAGTCCCTGTAACGGCCATTACAAAAATTTCAAAAGATAGTTCTAAAAAGCCAATCAGTTTATTAAACTTGAATTCCCAAAAGAAAAAGAAAATCAAATAATAAAAGAAAGTAGAAAAGAGGAAACAGAGGAACAAAAATCAGTAGGGAAAAGCAGAAAGCAATTTAGTTAGACCAACATCCAATCGTATGAGTGATGACATTAAATGTTAATGGATTAAATACTAACACATAAAGAATATCAGAAGGAAAATAAAGTAAGACCCAACTCTAAGCTGTTTAGGAGAGAGGCATTTTACATATAAAGTTACTAACAGGATAAAAGATCTAAATGATAATGAGAAAGCAAACAACCCCTTTTAAAAATGGGCAAAAGATCTGAACAGACACCTGACCAAAGTAGATACACAAATGACAAATAAGAATATGAAAAGATGCTCAACATCATATACAATAGGGAATTGCAAATTAAAACAAGAATGAAAGACATACCTACTAGAATGACTAACAAATAACTAACAAAACACTGACAGTACCAAATACTGGTGAGGATGTGGAACATTAGGAACTCTCGTTCATTGTTGATGGGAATGCAAAATGGTACAGCCACTTTGGAAGACAATCTGCAGTTTCTCATAAAACTAATATAACCTTAACGCCATAATCCAATAATTGGTGCTCCTTGGCAATTACCCAAATTATTATTTTTTTTGGTTGAGATAACATCCATTGCTGATTTTCCTCTTTTTTTTTTTTTTTGCTTGAAGAAGATTAGCCCTGAGCCAACATCTGTGACAATCCCCCTCCAATCTGCACATGGGATGCCTCCACAGCATGGCTGACAAGTGATGTATGTCCTTGCCCAGGACCTGAACCCGTGAACCAGGCTGCCGAAGGGGAGCACATGGAACTTTAACCACTCAGCCACTGGGAGGGCCCTACCCAAATGCTTTAACCACACAAAAACCTGCATTTGAATGTTCACAGCCACTTTATTCATAACTGCAAAAACTTGGATGTAACCAAGATGTCCTTCAATAGTGACTGGTCAAACCATGGTACATCCAGACAATGGAATATTATTCAGCAATTAAAAAAAGAGCTGTCAAGGGGCCAGCCCAGTGGTGCAGGGGTTAAGTTCACGTGCTCTGCTTTGGCAGCCCCCAGGTTTGCCAGTTCAGATCCTGGGCGCAGACCTATGAACCACTTGGCAAGCCATGCTGTGGCAGGCGTCCCACACATAAAGCAGAGGAAGATGGGCATGGATGTTAGCTCAGGGCTAATCTTCCTCAAAAAAAACATAATATAACAGATCAACATTTGCTCATTAATTGTCACAAACGTACCACACTAATGCAAGATGTCAATAATGGGGGGGGGGGGGTGTATGGGAATTCTCTGTATTTTTTGTTTAATTTTTCTGTAAACCCAAAACTGCTCAAAAACAGAAAGTCTATTTAAAAAAAAGTAGGTGGGAAAAGCTAAGCTTCAGAGTCATAAATCTTGGGTTCTAATCTCACTTCAGAATTTACAAACTGTGTGAGTAGAGAAAAGTTACTAAACAGATCTGATTCTCGCTCTTCTTGTTTTACTGGACTCACGGCAAAATGTGACATGCAGGGCACTGGCTTCTCCTTTGGCTTCTCTGACGCCATGGCCCTGGTTGTCCTTTGACCTTCTTATCCCAAATGGAGCTCATCTTCCTGCTGGTCATTATTCCTTTTCCCAGACTCCAAATCCTGTACTGCCCCGTCTCCCTTACCCCTACATTTAGTCAGTTCTCAAGTTGATTATGCCTTCTAAATATTGCTCTAATGTCCACTTCTCCCCAGCCTCACTGAGTCCAGATGAACTACTGTCACTTCTGGCTTGGAGTAAAGGCAACAGCCTCCAAGCCAGCCTATCTATCTCGTTTTATATAAATATATATTCTTTTTACTAATTTTTGATCTTATCAGATTCATTCCCCTTTCAAACTAAAATATGATCACTATACTCGGCTGTTTCAAATCCTACAGTGGCTTTCATTACTCTTAGCATCAAGTCCAAACTTCTTAACAGGGCCTGCAAGATGCTTTATTAAAACTGTCCCCAAACTACTGCCCCAGCCTTTGGACTCTTTATTCCAGTGACAATGCCTTCTCCACTTTTGAGCCTCCGGGACTTCTGATATGCCAAGATTTGTCTAGAATCATTTGTCACGTACCCTAGGAAGCTCTTTCTTCTACTCAGGTCCATGCTAGTTGTCCCCATCGTGTTCTGTATTTGCTCCACTTAATTGATTTTTAAGTTGATGCCCACTAAATCGTAGGCTCCATGAAGACAAGGGCCATGTTTAATATTTTACTCACTCTGAGCCCATCCCTAGCTTTCATTCACATTTCACAGATGAAGATGAAAAACAATAGTTACTTCATAGGGATATAGTGAGCATGAAATGAGATAATATAAAGAGCATTAGGTGCACAGACAGCATAGTAAATATTTCAATTCAGTGGATAAATAGATGGAATGAAGTGCTTATCCGAAAGGCCCATAAATCTTCCTGGTTTTATTCACGTATTGTGCCCCATTAAGATATAATAAACATCTATGTTCCTGTGAATGGAGAATTAAGGATAAAGGAAATCACAATGTTATGGCGCAAATGTCACACGAGCAACAGAAAATAAACATTTTTCTAATATAGATAATAAAACTGGCACAGAAACAAGATTTTTAATTCATTCTTCTAAAAGCAGAGGATGATATTGATTTTTTTTTTTTTTACTTTCCTTGC